GTTGTAGGTTAGGAGATAGGAGGCTAGTATGATAGTGTTTTGTTTTAGGCTGCTAGTGGCTCCAGTTGTGTTCTTAATACTTCATTAGGCTCATAGGTTAGGCTGTAGTATGTTTAGTGGCCCTTTGTGTCCATATTATTCCCTTGCATCTGTAGTATTGTGCTTTTGTTACTGCTTAGTGTTATTACTTTGCTCTCCATTTTCTGGTTATTGCGTTTCTGGTATTATCTTTCTGGATTCCTTTGCTGTTACTGATACACTGTCTCTTTCCTTCTTGTGCCAAGGGTCTACTGGAAATAGCCTCTCTACTCCTCTGGAGTAGGGGTAAGGTCTGCGTATACACTACCCTCTCCAGACCCCACCTGTAGGATCTCACTGGGTTGTTGTTGTTCTTAGTGGTGTTATTGCATCTTGGGACGACCTCTCTTGGCCACTGGAGATGCAATTATCAAAGTCCGAGAAAGTAAGATGATCCTGGGGGTGGACAATGAATAAGCAGTCTTCAATGTATATCGAGCTATTCTGTTGCCTCGTCATTACGAGGACCTGACCATGATTTCTGTGGTGCAGATAAATGAACCAGCCATAGAGCCAAGTGCGTTTAAAGAAGATGCACTAGAAAAGGCATTGATGTTGTTCAATCACTTGGAACTTGAAGAAGAGGTTGAGGAGATGTTGCAAATTCTGGATGCATCTTGCGAATACATAAGAGAAGGATCCCAGTTTGAGCCTTTGGATAGGCCAATCGGCCCGTACCCTAAACCTGTGACGACCCGGCCAGTTGTCTCATGAGTTACCACTCCGTTTCCACCCATTTCTGCTTCTTATTGCTTTGTTCATCTGTGTTTTGAGGTATCGGGTTGGTTGGATTGAATCCGGGTTGGTTTTAGTGAAGTTTGAGACACTTAGTCTCTTTAATAAAGCTTAAGTTGGAAAAGTCAACGGGATGTTGACTTATGGGTTAGAGGGCTCGGATGTGAGTTCCGATGGTTCGGTTAGCTTCGGGAGGTGATTTGTGACTTAAGAGTGTGATCGGAATGGGTTTTGGAAGTCCGGAGTAGAATTAAGCTTGAATTGGCGAAGTTGATATTTTGGCGATTTCCAGTTGATAGGCGAGATTTTGATCTAGGGGTGGGAATTGAATTCTGAGAGTTGTAATAGCTTAGTTATGTCATTTGGGATGTGTGTGTGAAATTTTTAGGTCATTCGGACATGGTTTGGTTGGGTTTTTGATCAAAAGCGTATTTTCGGAAGATTTTAGAAACTTAGGCTTGAATCCGATGTGTTTTGGGTGATTTGATGTTGTTTGAGGTATTTTGATGATTGGAACAAGTTTGAATAAGGTTTTAGGATGTGTTGGTGCCTTTGGTTGAGGTCCCAGGGGCCTCGAGTGAGTTTCGGGTGGTCATTCGGATCATTTTGAAGTTTGGAAAATTGTAGAAAATCTGCTCAGCTGTTGCAGAGATTTATCCCTTCGCATTCGCGAGTAAAGTCTCGCGTTCGCGAAGAAGGATTGAGGAAGCCCAGGAATTTAGCCTTCGCGTTCGCGAGAGAGGCTTCGCGTATGTGGAGAGGCTGGATCGGTAGGCATCACATTCGCGTGAGACTGGGTCGCGTTCGCGTGGGTTGGCGAAGTGTTGCATCACGTTCGCGAGGTTGAGGACGCGTTCGCGAAGAGTAATAGTTGGTCAACGCAAGTTTGTGCTTCGCAAACGCGAGGCTTTGACCGTGTTCGCGAAGAAGGGAATTAAGACCTGGGCAGAATGTCTTTAAGTCGTCTTGTCCGCGATTTGGGGGCTTATTTCACCCATAGCTGCTCGTTTTTGGAGATTTTTGAAGGAGATTGAAGAGGGATTCAAGGGGAATCGTTGGGAGGCAAGTTTCTTGGACTAAAAACTCGATTATTATGTGAATTCCACCTAGAAAATCATGAAAGCTAAGCCTAAAATTGAAGAACTAGGGCTTGAGAAATTGGACTTTTGAATTGGGATTTGAAGGACCATTTGAGGTTGGATTAGAGAACTTTTGATATGTATGAACTCGTGGGGAGATAAGGAATCTATTGGTGTGAAAATTTCTGAGTTTCGAGAAGTGGGCCCGGGGCTCGGGTTTTAGTAATTTCGGGATTTATGCCCTTTTGTTGATTGTTTTCGCTTGGGATTTGTTCCCTTAGCATATTTTGACGTCCTCGTTCTGATTTTGGATAGATTCGACGCGCGTGGAGGCCGATTCGAGGGGCAAAGGCGTCGCAAGCTAGAGATTTAGCCAGTCCGAGGTGAGTAATGATTGTAAATGATGTTCTGAGGGTTTGAAACCCCCGGATTGCACATCGTAGTGCTATATTGAGGTGAGGCACACGCTTGATGACGAGCGTGGGGTCGTGCACTATTGGGGACTGTGACTTGGTCCGTCCCGATTGATGATTTTACTGCGTATTTGACTGAAATCTATTTGTAATCATCGTTATTTGGGCCGCATGCCATATTGGGCTTCGTGCTAACTATTTGAACCCTTCGGGGGGGTTTTTGTTGATATTTCCTCACTATTTTGACTTGTTGCTTGAACTCAGTCATGTTATTTTTCACTGTTTTATAAACTCAGCCATGTTCACTCAGTTTTAATACTCAAATGATATTTAAATGATGTTTTGGGCTGAGAAACACTGTTTTGCTGTTGCCCGAGAGGCTTATGTGGTTTTTGACTGAGTAAGGCCGAGGGCCTGTGTTGTGAGGATACTATGGGATCGGGCTACGCGCTGCAACGGTGATACACTGATACTAATTATGAGGCCGAGGGCCTGAGATTGTACGCCACGAGGTGGCTTGATATTGATATGAGGTCGAGGACCTGTTTATGATGCCACGAGATGGCTTGATATTGTGCTTGGGCCGAAAGGGGCCCCTCTAGGAGTCTGCACACCCCCAGTGAGCACGGGTACCCAGTGTGGTGTGTGATATAGCCCGAGGGGCTGGTATTGTTCTGAGATATTGCCCAAGGGGCGGATTTGTTGACATTGTGCCCGAGGGGCGAACCTTATATGCTTATCTTTCTTATTTGCCTGTCATTTACTTGCTTAATTGCGTATTTGTGCGAGGGGCGGATTTTTGTGCTTATATGCACTAGTTGTTCTGCATTCATTTGCGTAACTGTTGAAAAAGCCATTTTCAAAGAGTTTTAAACTAAGCTGAGATGTTTTAAGGGATTTTACAGCTTCATTGCTATCTTACTGGTTTTGTACCACTTCTATACAGCATGTGGATGCACTTTTCGTGATTTTTTATTAGTTTGTACTTAGTACATTCCAGACTTTGGCAGTTGTATTTAGATTTAGTAGATGCTCATGACTAGTGACACCCCGGTTTGGGCTGTGTTGGGTTGTTCTCCGCGAATTATTATGATATTATATGCTGTTTAGCATTAATAAATCATGTTTTAGCCTGTTGTGTTGCTGCTTAGCTGTTTAACTTCGAATTGGAAATGTGTCAGCTGGCCTTGTCTCCACGAGAGGCGCCATCACGACCGGGTCTGGGTTTAGGGTCATGACAAAACTGTCAGTTGAGGAAGCCCCATAATTGGAACGTAAACCCTTACCATCTCATATTCATTAAGCATATTTGGGAAGTTCTAACACTTTACTTGTGATTGTTTCTTCTCATTTGTCTAAATTGCAGGAAGAGAAGCTCTTAAGGGTGTTAAGGGAGCACACACATGCCATTGGTTGGACAATGTATGACATAAAGGGTATTAGCCCTGCATTTTGCATGCGCAAAATACTCGTGGAGGAGGGACACAAGCCTAGCGTGGAACATCAACGCCGCCTAAATCCAATCATGAAAGAGGTGGTAAGAAAAGAAGTGATTAAGTGGATTGACGCAGGTATAGTATTTCCTATCTCCAACGGTAAGTGGGTAAGCCCTGTTCGGGTATGACTATTGTAATGAATGAACAAAATGAATTAATAACAACTAGAACTGTGACTCGTTGGCGAATATGCATAGATTAAAGGAAGTTGAATAATTCTACACGAAAAAATCACTTCCCCTTCCCCTTCATTTATCAAATGCTTGACAGGTTAGTCGGACAGGAATATTATTGTTTCCTTGACGGCTATTCGGGGTATAATCAGATTGTTACTGCCCCTAAAGATAAAGAAAAGACCACTTTTACATGCCCTTATGGCACTTATACATTTAAGAGAATGCCATTCAGGTTGTGTAATGCACCTGCGACTTTTCAAATGTATGATGGCTATTTTTATCGATATGGTGGAATGGTTTGTGGAGATCTTTATAGATGATTTTTCTGTGTTTGGGCCTTCTTTTGATGAATGCTTAACCAATCTTGCTTAAGTGCTTTCTAGGTGTGAGGAGACTAACCTGGTACACAATCGGGAAAAGTACCATTTTATGGTACGTGAAGGTATAGTACTGGGCACAAGGTGTCCAAAGATGGACTGGAAGTTGACAAGACTAAGGTGAAGCAATTGAAAAGTTTCCACCACCGATTTCAGTGAAAGGAGTTAGGCTTTTTCTGGGACATGCAGGTTTTTATCGCCTTATACGGAATTTCTCAAAAATTTCCTCTCCTTTGTGCAGGTTTTTAGAGAAGGATGTGTTGTTCAAGTTTGATGATGCTTGTGTCAAAGTATTCGAGGAGCTGAAAAAGAAGTTAGTGAGTGCACCAATCATAGTGGCTCCTGACTGGAATGAGCCATTTGAACTGATGTGTGACGCTAGTGATGGTGCAATTGGGGCCGTATTGGGCCAGAGGAGGAGCAAAAAATATTTCACTCCATTTACTACGCAAGCAAGACTCTCACTCTTGCTCAAATAAATTATATTGTGACACAAAATGAGTTGCTTGTTGTAGTGTGGGCATTCGATAAATGTGGGGCCTATTTGGTTGGCACCAAAATCATCGTCTACATAGACCATGTAGACATCAGGTATTTATTTGAAAAGAAAGATTCTAAACCAAGGCTAATCCATTGGGTTTTACTCATGCATGAATTTTACTTGGAGATCCGAGATCGTAAAAGAACAGAGAATCAAGTGGCTGATCACTTGTCTATGTTAGAAACTCGGAATCATGTAACTGAGGGAGATGTCATCAAGGAAACCTTCCCGGATGAGCAATTGTTGGGCGTTACTGCAGGGGAAGTACCATGGTACGCAAATTTTGTAAACTATCTGGCAAGTGGAGAAATGTTGCCTGATCTTGAACCTCATGCTAAAAAGAAGTTCTTGCGAGATGTGAGATCATATGTGTGGGATGAGTCATTTCGGTTCAAATCTTGTATTGATCAGTTGATGAGAAGATGTGTACCCAATCTGAAACAAATGCTATCTTACATGACTGTCATGCGTCGCCTTATGGTGGTCATCATTCGAGTGACAAAACGGCAGCAAAGATGTGGCAATCGGGTTTCTATTGGCCTATGTTGTTTAAAGATGTGCATGAGTTCGTGAGGAGGTGTGATAGGTGCAAGAGAACGGGAATAATTACGAAAAGGCATGAGATGCCATTGCATGGTATTATGGAGGTTTAAATCTTTGATGTGTGGGGAATTGATTTTATGGGTCCGTTTCACTCGTCCAGCGGGTGTAAGTACATTTTTGTGGCCGTTGACTATGTGTCGAAGTGGATGGAGGCCACTGCTCTTCCTACCAATGATGCCAAGGTTGTGGTCAACTTTGTGAAAAAGCATATCTTTACAAGGTTCGGCACCCCGAGAGTGATGATAAGTGATGGAGGCACTCATTTCTGTAACAAGCTATTGGACAATGTCTTAGCGAAATACGGGGTCAAACATAGGGTTGCAACCGCTTACCATCCTCATACCAGTGGACAAGTTGAAGTGTCAAACAGAGAGATAAAGTAGATTCTAGAGAAGACGGTTCGTGCAAGTAGGAAAGATTGGGGTGCAAAGCTTGATGATGCTCTATGGGCATACCAGACTGCCTATAAAACTCCAATCAGAACTCCATGTACAAGCTGGTTTATGGGAAGACATGCAATTTACCGGTGGAACTTAAGCACAAGGACTATTGGTCGATAAAGAAGCTGAACTTTGATGCAGAGTTAGCGGGTAGAAAGTGGTTGATGCAATTGAACGAGCTTGATGAGTTTTGCTTGCATGCGTATGAGAATGCCAAGTTATATAAAGAAAAGACCAAGCGTTGGCATGATAAGTATAGCCAACATTGTGAGTTTGAACCGGGCCAATTGGTTCTCTTGTTCAATTCGAGGTTGAGACTCTTTCCGGGGAAGATCAAATTGCGATGGTCGGGCTCGTTTGAGGTAGTGAGAGTCACTCCACATGGTGCAATAGAGCTGCGTGTCTTAGGTGGTGAGAGAACATTCTAAGTGAACGGACAAAGAGTAAAGCACTATTATGGAGGTGACTTTGATCGTCAGAAGTCGAAGGTGTTACTTGCCAACGATTAGACGAGATTATATGTCGTGCCGCGATGTTAAATCAGGCGCTTGTTGGGAGGCAACCCAGCGTTACTGCTTTTGTTTAGTTTTGTTTTTTCTTCTTATTATGGTATTTTAGTAGTGTGGTTTTATTTTGTAGGATTTTGAGCATAGGAAGAAAAGCCATAGGAAGTGTGCAAAAGCGAGCTAGATGGTGGGAACTAAGTGTGGAGTGCTCACACAAAGGACCATGCCTGGGGGAAGTCTGACTACCTCGTGAGCCGCTATTGCTTCGGCCTTTGGCCTTTCAGGAATCTCTTGTCCACCCTGGTTTGTGTTTTGCTTTATTTGTGCAGTGGGGATACTGCACTCTTTTAAGTGTGGGGTGAAAGAATTTCTCTAGATAATTACAAGTAGTGTGTTAGAAAAATATAAACTTCTTAGAAACATCGGTTAGACTTCTCCTGATGATGAATCTGATTCGACAGGTTTCTTGAGATATTTAAGTCGAAAGAAAAAAAGACAAAAAGATTTACTTTTATTAGGCAGTGCAATAATTTCCCCTTAGTTTTTCTTTGTGTCGCGGTTCTTTTCTAAGGGTTTTGTTTGAACCAGGTGTAGTTAGTTGTATTTTTTTAGGAGTAGGAGCCATTGTGTTGTGATTGGAATTGAAGCAATATCTCTTGACTTTGTTATGCTTGAGAATAGTGAGTACTTTGGTTGTGACGCTTAGGCTCGGTTTTTGACTCTTGTATAAGAACCATAAATTGTATGATCTTAACTTTGCTTAACTGCTTTGACTAGAGTGTCTTGATGAGTCTAATGCTAAGTGAGTTATGTTCCATGTGTGTGTGTGAGGTTTGTGTGTCATTCTGTGCATTGCATTTGATGTCTAGAACTTGCCCCGTGTGTTTGCAAAGCGAAATAGTAGTTTTGTTCAGTCTTGGAAGTGATATAGGTGTTTCTTTGTTGAACATATATATATATATATATATATATATATATATATTACCTGCATAATTCTTATGTATCGTAGTTAACCCTATGAGCCTGTAATCCTATTTCTTTGGCAACCACATTACAATGTCTTAGCGAAATACGGGGTCAAACATAAGGTTGCAACCGCTTACCATCCTCAGACCAGTGGACAAGTTGAAGTGTCAAATAGAGAGATAAACCAGATTCTAGAGAAGACGGTTCGTGCAAGTAGGAAAGATTGGGGTGCAAAGCTTGATGATGCTCTATGGGCATCCCAGACTACCTACAAAACTCCAATCAGAACCTCCACGTACAAGCTGGTTTATGGGAAGTCATGCCATTTACCGCTGGAACTTAAGCACAAGAACTATTGGCGATAAAGAAGCTGAACTTTGATGCAGAGTTAGCGGGTAGAAAGCGGTTGATGCAATTGAACGAGCTTGATGAGTTTCGCTTGTACGCGTATGAGAATGCCAAGTTATATAAAGAAAAGACCAAATCGTGAGTTTGAACCGGGCCAATTGGTTTTCTTGTTCAATTCGAGGTTGACACTCTTTCCGGGGAAGATCAAATTGAGATGGTCGGGCCCGTTTGAGGTAGTGAGAGTCACTCCACATGGTGCAATTGAGCTGCGTGTCTTAGGTGGCGAGAGAACGTTCTAAGTGAACGGACAAAGAGTAAAGCACTATTATGGAGGTGACTTTGATCGTCAGAAGTCGAAGGTGTTACTTGCTAACGATTAGACGAGATTCTGTGTCGTGCCGCGACGTTAAATCAAGCGCTTGTTGGGAGGCAACCCAGCGTTACTGCTTTTTTTAGTTTTGATTTTTCTTGTTATTGTGGTATTTTTGTAGTGTGGTTTTATTTTGTAGGATTTTGAGCATAGGAAGAAAAACCATAGGAAGTGTGCAAAAGCGAGCTAGATGGTGAGAACAAAGTGTGGGGTGCTCACACAAAGGACCATGCCTGGGGGAAGTCTTACTACCTCGTGAGTCGTTATTGCTTCGGCCTTTGGCCTTTCAGGAGTCTCTTGTCCACCCTCGTTTGTGTTTTGCTTTATTTGTGCAGTGGGGATACTGCACTTTTTTAAGTGTGGGGTGCAAGAATTTCTCTAGATAATTAGAAGTAGTGTGTTAAAAAAATGTTAACTTCTTAGAAAAATCGGAAAAAAATGAAAAAAGTAGAAGAATTAGACTTCTCCTGACGATGGATCTCATTCGACAGGTTTCTTGAGGGATTTATGTCGAAAGAAAAAAAAGACAAAAAGATTTTCTTTTATTAGGCAGTGTAATAATTCCCCCTTAGTTTTTCTTTGTGCCGCGGTTCTTTTCTAAGGGTTTTGTTTGAACCGGATGTAGTTAGTTGTATTTTTTTTAGGAGTAGGAGCCATTTTGCTGTGATTGGAATTGAAGCAATATCTCTTGACTTTGTTATGCCTTGAGAATAGTGAGTACTTTGGTTGTGAAGCTTAGGCTCGGTTTTTGACTCTTGTATAAGAACCTTAAATTGTATGATCTTAACTTTGCTTAACTGCTTTGACTAGAGTGTCTTTATGAGCCCAATGCTAAGTGAGTTATGTGCCATGGGTGTGTGTGTGGTTTGTGTGTCATTCTATGCATTGCATTTGATGTCTAGAACTTGCCCCGTGTGTTTGCAAAGCGAAATAGTAGTTTTGTTCAGTCTTGGAAGTGATATATGTGTTTCTTTGTTGAGCCATATATATATATATATATATATATATATATATATATATATATATATATATATATATATATATATATATATTACCCGCCTAATTTTTATGTAATCCTATTTCTTTGGCAACCACATTACAATGTCTTAGCGAAATACGGGGTCAAACATAAGGTTGCAACCGCTTACCATCCTCAGACCAGTGGACAAGTTGAAGTGTCAAATAGAGAGATAAAGCATATTCTAGAGAAGACGGTTCGTGCAAGGAGGAAAGATTGGGGTGCAAAGCTTGATGATGCTCTATGGGCATCCCAGACTACCTACAAAACTCCAATCAGAACCTCCACGTACAAGCTGGTTTATGGGAAGACATGTCATTTATCGGTGGAACTTAAGCACAAGGACTATTGGGCGATAAAGAAGCTGAACTTTGATGCAGAGTTATCGGGTAGAAAGCGGTTGATGCAATTGAACGAGCTTGATGAGTTTCGCTTGCACGCGTATGAGAATGCCAAGTTATATAAAGAAAAGACCAAGCGCTGGCATGATAAGCATATCCAACATCGTGAGTTTGAACCGGGCCAATTGGTTCTCTTGTTCAATTCGAAGTTGAGACTCTTTCTGGGGAAGATCAAATTGAGATGGTCGGGCCCGTTTGAGGTAGTGAGAGTCACTCCACAGGGTGCAATTCAGTTGCGTGTCATAGGTGGCGAGAGAACGTTCTAAGTGAACGGAAAGCACTATTATGGAGGTGACTTTGATCGTCAGAAGTCGAAGGTGTTACTTGCCAACGATTAGACGAGATTCTGTGTCGTGCCGCGACGTTAAATCAAGCGCTTGTTGGAAGGCAACCCAGCGTTACTGCTTTTCTTTAGTTTTGATTTTTCTTCTTGTTATGGTATTTTTGTAGTGTGGTTTTATTTTGTAGGATTTTGAGCATAGGAAGAAAAACCATAGGAAGTGTGCAAAAGCGAGCTAGATGGTGACAACTAAGTGTGGGGTGCTCACACAAAGGACCATGCCTGGGGGAAGTCTTACTACCTCGTGAGCCGCTATTGCTTCGGCCTTTGGCCTTTCAGGAGTCTCTTGTCCACCCTCGTTTGTGTTTTGCTTTATTTGTGCAGTGGGGATACTGCACTTTTTTAAGTGTGGGGTGAAAGAATTTCTCTAGATAATTAGAAGTAGTGTGTTAGAAAAATGTTAACTTCTTAGAAAAATTGGAAAAAACAAAAAAAGTAGAAGAATTAGACTTCTCTTGACGATGGATCTCATTCGACAGGTTTCTTGAGGGATTTAAGTCGAATGAAAAAAAAGACAAAAAGATTTTCTTTTATTAGGTAGTCTAATAATTCTCCCTTAGTTTTTCTTTGTGCCGCGGTTCTTTTCTAAGGGTTTTGTTTGAACCGGGTGTAGTTAGTTGTATTTTTTTTAGAAGTAGGAGCCATTGTGCTGTGATTGGAATTGGAGCAATATCTCTTGACTTTGTTATGCCTTGAGAATAGTGAGTACTTTGGTTGTGACGCTTAGGCTCGGTTTTTGACTCTTGTATAAGAACCTTAAATTGTATGATCTTAACTTTGCTTAACTGCTTTGACTAGAGTATCTTGATGAGTCCAATGCTAAGTGAGTTATGTGCCATGGGTGGCTGTGAGGTTTGTGTGTCATTCTGTGCATTGCATTTGATGTCTAGAACTTGCCCCGTGTGTTTGCATAGCGAAATAGTAGTTTTGTTCAGTCTTGGAAGTGATATAGGCGTTTCTTTATTGAGCCATATATATATATATATATATATAT